TGAAGCCAGTGAAGGTGATAAGAATGAGCTAGACCGTGAAGTTTCGGGTCTATAAAGATTAAATATTCCCCGTGAGAATAATGCCCACGAATAACCTGTTTCCTTTCTCCCCCCCTATTCATCTCTGGTTTTGATAGTATGGATTAACCCGACTCAGATTTCCCTCAGCACTGCAGCCAAAGCACAAACCAGCAAGTGCCATCAGCACCAGGCAAGTGCTCCATCTTAACATCCTCCTCCTACACTCACTGAGCTGCGGCGTACAAACAGGTCCATTTATTCATCTTTTTACTCCCAGAACCACACTTTAGATTAAATACTTTTTTCATTTCTCTTCTCCAATGAGTTAGGGAGTGCACAAAATGCATCATACTCTGTCTTTATTTTTTACAGGCAGATTCTTCTACCATCCTCTCCTAAAAGGCTCTTCTCATTTTCTGGGAGATTTTAATCCCTCTCCTCCACAGCTGCTCCAGTTTGGGGTGGTTTTTTGAGCACAGAAGCACGTTCAGTACTGCCAGTGAATATGAGAGTCCTAATATGTCCTTTCTTCACTGAATAACCTCTTCTGAAGTGTCCCTTTACATTTTCCATGCATGTGGATAGTGGCTCATGGTCATTTTAGGATCAGAAAAGACAAATAATGAGATGATCTCATGTAATTCTTTAGGATTTCAGGGATGAAAAAGGGAAAATGTAGAACTATTAAAGAATATATCTAAGAAGAATAAAATACTTGATACAAACTCAGTTGCACTTGCTAATAGAAACAAAATGTAACAAAGATGTGGTAAGAGTGAAATATAATAAATGGAAAAGTTAACATCAATATATTTAAGAGTAGGCAAAAAACCCCCAAAACTAAAAAGTGGTATTATTAAAGAAAAAGCCCTTTTACAGGAACTAGCAATTACTAGTGTGTCCCCCATAAATGACTTTGTAAATAAGCAGTCCTGCTTCCACTGTCATTCTCTATGTTATTGTTTTGCTGGTTTCCCAACAAATGTTTTAATGATACTTATTGCCAAGGAGCGCTCTCTCACTGCCATGACTCAAGGTCCTCAATAACTACTTCTCTGTTATGAAATCTAATGTGAAGGTCAAACCCTACCAGCCCACAGCATACTAAGTTCTAATAAATTGCTTAATTAATATATTCAATACAAATGACAAATTGTGTTACATCCTTTACTTCCATGTCTTTAATTATTCTGTCTTTCAAAACATTTTAAGAAGTCTTACATCACACAGTCAGTGTTAAAAGCCACAGAATACTGGCTGTGGGCTGATTTAATAATTTAGTTCCTTCTTTCTTATATGTTTCAGCTCGTATAAGCTGCATGTAAATCTATTCCTAAACACAGAATATGAGATAAACGTGAAGTGCTATGTAGGGGGGGAAAAAAAAAATAAATCTTGATTTTGTCTATAAAAAATATCACCTCCTAGTAACGTTATCATCCAGGAAAAAATAATCAAATTCTAAAAGAGTCCAGTGAAAATATTCCCTCAGCGCCAAGCAGCAGTCAAAAAGGAAAGGACAAAATGCAGGCAAAAAGCATTAGCTATACTCTTGTAATGTTCAGGGAAAGGAAGAAGGTACAAGTTCAGGAATGGCACAATTTGATATCGTCTTTTTTTTATGTTCTATATAATTTACACTAACTATGAACTGAAAAAAAATAGGTGGGGCAAATGAGGTTTTTATAACATTTAGAAAGGAACAATGGTTTGGGGTTTTATTTTTAAAAGTCAAATTCACTGTCACATGTCTGTCACATTTGACAAACCCAGAAGTGTGTGGTACATAAGAAAAGTTCTTTTTAAGCTCCTTGCCTGTATGATATACACATTCACCTCACAGGTTAATGGGCTGGGGAGGAAAGCAGGTGAGCAAAAGCATATGGGTAAGTGAGAGGGACTTTACTAGGAGATGCACAAGATAGCTCCTCAATCTCACATGCAAGTCCATACTTCCACATTCTCACCATGCAGTCTCACTTCAGCCTTCACTGAATTCATGCAGTTCTGGCATGGATTCCCAGTACAGTTTTAGGTCACACAGTCGCAGAAAATTCACCACAAGGAACAGCTGCTTCAGGAATCACATTCCAACGTGCAACCTGAATTTTCCTCCATACAAGTCACGCATATACAGGGGCATCAAATGAACTGAAAACAGAGGTTAAGGTTTAAAACACAACTCAGAACTGGAAATAGTCTTAGTCTGCTGTTACACGCAAGAGCCAAAAAAATAATTATAGACTAGAAAGGAGCTTAAGAACGCACTTGGATATTACAGGTCTGTGTGAGATAAGGAGCGTAAAGCAGTCAGGATTAAATGTCAGTCTTAACGGTTATTTCCTTGCGTTTGTGATTGCTCTGATAGGCAACGGGCTTTAGTAGTTCTCCTTAATGTTAAATTACAAGAGCTTAGGGAGTAGACAGAGCTACAAAGTAGAAAAAAAAACCCTGACAAACCCCATGAACATTCTTGTAATTTTATGTATCTTAACTCTGACATAATTGTCCCGTGGAAATCTTCAGTGTATTACTGCAGATTACCCAGGGACTGAAGGAATATATTACAAAACATGCAAAAGCATTTAAAGAAATTCCAGTTACACTGGCTTCTGAAATGCTCCAGTATTTGCTTGTGTGTGATCTTCTCCATCTCACTGGCTCTGTAATGTTTAAATTTACATATTAACACACAGACACATTCAGAGTAAGTGCATTGTTTAGTGCTCAGCCAGTTGTTGCTAATGCATTAAGCAGTAATGCTCATCTCAAAAATACTATTTTATTTGATATCATGCTTCAAGTAATAGATGAAAATTGGCCTTCAGTCCTAGCCCTCAAAACAATGCAGGTTACCTGGTGTAACATCACACAGTGTGTACATTTACAATGTCTGAAGAAATCTTCACTGAAAACCATTCTTTTACTGTAATTCTTCAAAATTGTCCCCCACACACTTTTTTTTTAATCCTTTTGAGTAGGCTAAGTAAACAAATTTATCAATTTCAGCTGGAGATGATGTATATTTTCACAGCATGAATAAACAAAATTAGTAACCTTTTCCATCAGGATTCTGCTCATGCTCTTTTTTTTTTTTTTGCCTACAAGGTTTTCAATGAAACATATCATTGTATTTTATACATCTCATCAGACTCTATATAGTCTGATGACTATAGCCTTTCTTTCTCTAGTTAAAGAAGCTGTTCTTTGAATGTTTCTCCTTAGGCATTTATTTCATTGTTCTCCTAGGTCTCCTCACTGCAGTTACACTGGAAAACCTTGTTTAAAGGGGATCAGAACATGTGGAAACTGTCCTGCCTACTCCCCAAATGATACCTCACATCTAAATCTCATGTGGGAATTTCTTCTCAGGTTCTTACAGTCTGCATCCTTGCTTTGGTAAAGCCTAGGACAGCAAAAGTCTTTTGGCATAAAACATAAATGAAAAGCTACATAAGACACGACATTTCATTCCATTTAAGCCATCTAGCTCATTTAAAAGATATATATATTTAATCCAAGATTGGTCAAAACAGATGAACTAGATGTTGAGCATCTTTTAACATCCTGAGAAAAGGTAAAACAAGGGCACAATTAGGATGGCTCTTCCTGGACACCTTAACAGTACATTTTCACCCTAAAATGGCCACTGTGGACAGTAGCACAATACAGTTAGTTCAGCCTCCCCTCCTCACAAAGTCCTTGAATACCACATCGAAATGGGCAACACTGGGCAACTAACATCAGTAGCATCCTGGCTTTCCTTATACACTCACTAAGCACTGAAATTGCATCCCCTCTACTCACCACATTGCACTTCATTTACTAAGCCAGTCATTACATACTAGCTACTTACTCTGAATCAGGGCTAATTTTACAATCAATGCATTTATTACATTCTCAGTCCTCTCTCTGAACATATTCCTTTGTTTTATCCATGGTACCCAGCCATCTGCCTTCACATCAAACATTTTCTTTCTCAAAGGTTTTCAAGATAATTTTCAGGGTAAGTAATACTATGGGGGAAGGGAAAAAAAAAAAAAAGAACTTGCTGAAATAATACAAAGACTGCCTAGAAGCTGACTGGAATTCAAGGGGGGAAAAAAACCCAAAAAACCAAACAGAACAAAACAACAAACCAGCAACAACGAAACCCAACAAATAAAAACCTTCTATAAATAAGTTATTTGCCTAGTGCTTACATATTATGCAACCATAACTAGCGACAAGCTAGTGCTACCACTGTTTTTAAAGAAGCAGAAAAATGTAGTAATGCCTGTACTCCTCCATCCTTCAGCATGAGAGGCAAAAGAAAGTGATCCATATTCCCTGGCTGTACAAAATGAGTGCGACTCCTGCAATTACCGAGGAGTCCCAGGTTCAGGATACATCGATAAGACAATTGCATTGTTTGGATTGCGTGATTTTTAGGAAGCAATGTGTCTCTATCACATACTCTAAAATTGCATGGGCACAGAAGGCATTCATTTCAACTACAAAGAAAGTACGGGAGTATTTTGCAATGCAGACTGGAAGAGACTACATGAAAAAGGCCATTTTGTGTAAATCCCATACATCCAATATGATAAACATGAACTAATTATTTAACATTTGCATACAAATGACATATTTTTGGTTTTTGTGGCATGGTTCCCTGTGTGATGTTGGGCCAGTTTCTGAACATCTCTAAATCTCCGCTTCCTTGTTTGCACAGCAGATTAGTATTAGTTATGCAGGATGGGGTGAGGCTTAATTAACACAAGTTTGTAAAGGCCTTTCTGATCTTCAGATACTATGTAGAAGAAGGACTAGAAAAAATCCACTTAAGAAGCAAAGAAGGATGTAAGCCTACGTCTACCCAACAAACATTTGGCATATCAAATTCATACAGAAAATACTAGCATTTCTTTGCAGTAGCAGCAAATTTACATTAGCAGAAAGTATAATATATATATATTAAAAATAACTAATTCACTTACTTCTTCCTAATTTCTAGGTCTGAAACTGGAACACATCTCAGGCCAGCTCCCAGTACCATGAGGGATGATGTTAGTAACACAGTTACCCTCAGACCTAAGATGAAAAAAACAACAGTATTTTACAAGTCAGCAATGTTGCAAAAAAAAAAAAAAAAAAAAAAAAAGCCTAAATATATATATTTACATACAGTCTCACAGAAGTAATGCATATATCTTTAAATCATAAACACTTTGGTGCTGATATGAATTACAAATACATTATGAAACCCTGTGTTATTTTCTATACTTATACTCCAGAATTACAAAGACTTAACACTTGGCATACTGTTGCGCAGAACTTTACCCAAAATCTTACAGGCATTCTTGGAAGTGAAAATTCATAATAAAAGTATGATCAAAATGTACAATACTCCCTTTAGAATTAGAAGCATCAGGGAATATGCTCCAGTGTGTGATCTGAAATCTACGTAGATTCAAAGAAAAATCTGGACTTGCACATTCTTTTCCAACCACTTAATGAACACAGACACATAACTGTTATTGTTTTCCCTCGTAATGCAGACATGCATTTCATCCTGAAGAAACAACTATTTATTCAGGGGAAAAAAGTGCAAGTATTTTTTTGCAATCCTTGCAATTAGGCCAGGTTTTTGCTGCGCTCAGCTCAAATTGTCAGAGGTTGTAAATATAGTACATTAGAAAAAAGCTACATTTGACCTATTCCTTGAATATGTTTTCTTCCTCATACTGCGATTCTCGACTGAGAAGCACTTAGATTAGAAACATCTTTATGTTACTGCTGCAATTCCTTTAGTCAGCAGTTTACTTGCTGCTGCTCCGGTGTTTCCATCAGCAGCAAACAGAAAGAGAACAGTGAGAGCTGAGGGGCTTAACCTCCCAAATCTTGTAAAACACCAAAATCATAAACATGCACAATTAAAAACTGATGATACAGTCTGTAACTGTAAAGTCATAAAACTTGAAACAACTCCACAACAACAAACAGAAAATAAAGGACTTCCATGTTCTTAGCAGAACATAATAAAAACAATTAAAAGATGACAAATATGCAGTGTCTCTAATATTTACATTAAACTAGTAACTACCCAAAACACAGACAGAAAAAGAACAAATCCCTATTATAACTCACCTAATAAACAAACAAATGATTTTGATTCTTTTTAAAACTGCCAGTTTTCAAATTTGCTCCCTCTATGTTAACGTCTCCTGTAATCAGTCCAATTCAACCAGTATTTGCATTAAATATTTTATCTCCATGTGAAATTTATGGGGGTTTTAGAGCATGTATTTTACTAAAATATAATTTTAGAGTATGAGACATCCCTTTGCTCTTATTTCAACAGCTCTTAGTGAACCTCACCCACGGGTAAGCAACTCTTTTGTGCCGGGACAGTGCACAAACCAAACCAAAGACGGCTCCTCTCTTGATCAACCTAGCCTCAAAAGAAGTTAATGTCACAGGTCTTCTGAAATGGAAGTATGACTTCATTTGGCACGGCTCAGTCATTAACAAAAGGAATGCAATCCACAGTCCTGGGACTCCGAAGGACACCTCACATCCCTGATGCCCTGGAGAAGTATCATCAGCCGAGGATATTCGTCTCCTTGAAGGATTTCCAATGCCAGCCCAGACTGACTTGCTTGACTCTGGGCTCAACCAGTACATGTTGCTGTTAAACTGGTTTTTCAAGTGTGCATGTTCAGAGAGCCCTAACTAAATGTCTGGATAATACGGCTGTTCAAAATCCTGTTGTTCTTCATGTTTGCTGGGCCACCACATGAGCCTTTACATGGCATGCTTAACCCCGATTACCATACTGCACATGTTGTGGGGGTAATTATTTATATCGGGATCACATCTGTGATGCTTTTGCCTTTTCTCCTGGGAAATTAATCTTTGTTAGCATCGCTTTTGTGCATAATGAGAACTTGTACACAACGAGAATTAGAATTTTATTGACAGCAAATTGAAACACAAGTCTTTTTACTGAAAAATTTGAAGTTTTACATTCAGAAACGCTGCTGCAATGTTGCAGGAAAACTCTAGTAATGTACACATCACTTTCATATTTCCCATGTAAATATGAAATAGAAGTTTTTAATTACATCTCACAAAAACCAGCACGTTCTGCTCTTCAGAAGACACAAGGACAGAGACAGCCAGCCTGGAAGGTCCTGGTCATGGGGAGCCACAGGAGGCAGAGGCCAGGTGCAAGCCCAGGCCATAGTAGTAAATGAGTATTATACAGAAATTTAAGTTTGAATCACCAAAGAATGCATGAAGAGTGTTTCCAAATAAAAAAATTCTATCTTATTTTTAATTAAAAAAAAATTCTCTAAATAAAAACCACAAACCAAGAAAAAGTTTTAATTAAAATCTGCAGAAAAGTTTCCTAAGAAAAATAACACACAATTCGGTGAAAACTGAATTGGATGCCAGAGTCTTCCCCTAGCCCTAATTCTAGGCTCATCTTCAATGTCAAACTTGCATATAGGGTAACTTTAAAATAAAACTATCAGTTAAAGCCTCATAATAAAGTATGTTTGATCTCTCCAATCATTCTTTGAATGTCCTCATCTCGAATACTATACACTGTAACGTACCACTTTTAAACATCTTCATAGCACAGATTATTCTTTGGCCTTTTTTTTCCACTTTAACATGTAAACACATTCCTAAAAATTCCTTTGGTTAAAGCTGCATGTTGAAAACGATGACACCAAAGTGAACAAGGAAAAGACTGTCAGACAAACAGCATAGACATTTTCTTTGCTAATTACATGATGTATTTCTAACCTTGAAGCATCTTCCCCTTTTATTTTCCTTTATATTTTAACTCTCTGAATCCACCCTCCTTTTCATCTTTGTTAGAAACTGGTCTTTAATAGTATTTTTATAATTATTTTGGTATTTTTGCTTTGAAAGTTGCAGTGGCCCTTAATCTGAATTGGACATCTTGTATTACTCTAGAAGGTGCACGCAGAGTGTTTCCAGATAGCAGTATCCATCATGGGGACAATAAAGCAAAGCAACCAACCAAGCCTGAAAAAGAAGGCCTTGAATCCTGCAAGAAATTATTTCTCTATTTTAAAAGATCTAATTCACACAACCAAGATTTTGACTAGATTTAATTAACCTCATTAATTTTACCCTGTAAATGCAAGCACCAATTGATGGGGGGACCTAGAGCTTCTTAAAAATCCATCATCCATTTTCCAGTCCCCTTCTATCAGAGGTTTCTGATGCATGGCTGGAAAGGGAAGAAACTCCTTTAAAGGGATTTTCTGCCAGTGGAGGAAGTTTTCTGTTCTTTGGAGCCTCTCCTTAGCTGCTCACTGCCATCCTGCTTTTGCCATCCTGCTCACTGCCACCCTGCTCTTGCAGGAGGTTTCTGGCCTCACAGGTTGCACTGACTGTTCAACAGAGTGTAGCCACGTTCAGTAAGGCCCAAGGTCATTGACACTTACAGAAAAACCTGACTAGCTGCAGAAATTGAGTCAGTAATAAAAAGACATCAATTATCATTTCTGAGTGAAACAGCCGATATTGTTGTTTAACCCTCCTGCAGCTAATAGCACAGTCTGCTTTACAACTTCAGCCCACGCTGCATTTGCCGGTTTTTATTTCTTTTGAAAACAACTACCCCCAAACTCCTGCCACTATTAGAGATTTAACAGAAACTCTCAACCCACAATCCTCTTAACTCTCCTGCAAAACACAGACTTTTATTCCAGCCAAGACCATGTTGTACTAGTAAACCCTAATGATTACCTGTGCTGGCAGGATCTGCTGACCAGACCTGGTCCCTGGGACATTTCTAGCTGGCTCACTAGTTTCCTTCCCTCTCTGCTGGGAAAGCAGCTGCTGCAGCAATGCACACAGTGTGATGAACCCAGGGTCCCTCACCACCCACAGCCCAACACACAAAAGAAGCAACACCCGATGCATCACAATGTGGCCTCACAGCAGAATGGGCAGCAGCGGCCGGCGGTGGCACCCACCCAGCTGCTCTTCAGTTCCCTCACAGCAACATCAAGCGATAGCATCCAATCCAGGGGTGCTACATCCCCCACAACTCTTCCAGCATGCCTTATGTTCAAGATGCTTTTTAAAATAAATGGAATGAAAACTCATTTCCCCCTTCCTGACACTGCATTACCAACTTACCCAGTAAGTGATTTATTATGCCTAGTTTAATAAGAAATTTAATAAGAGATGTATAGCTACAATGAACTCCTCATTCCAACTATTTATACATTATCAGTTTGTCCTTCAGAAAAAACATGATTAACAACTGTTTAATACTTTTGTAAGCTTTTGAGAAGTACGACCATTCCTTCTCTCACCTGTCAGTCACCCATTACAATAAAACATCGTAAAACATGTGACTGACAGACTGTAAAAAACAAATGCTTACTCACACAAAACACACATTCAAGTTAAAACTGCCTTCATGTTAAGAAGTGGAAGTTTCTACTTCTGCTGTCTAGTGGCAGCAAAAGCCTGTGCACCCCCCCGGGCTGAGGGCAGCACCCCAATTCCTGAGCTGCTGTTACAGACCCACGGAGCGCAACACTTCTAGTTCAGAGTGTCACACAAATGGCAAACACTGTTTGGGTTTGGCTTTTCTCCCCCTCTCCTAATGAAGCGTCCATCCTGGAGGGGAAACTTCCAGTTGGATGTGCATTTTTCACCTTTCTGCGGAGATTAATGGAAGTTTGGCCAGAGGAAAGGCTGCTGGATCCAGCCCTCTGCCCGGTGCGGCAGCAGTGGATTTCCCTCGTACAGCTCACGCTCATTTGAGGGTTCTTCTTCCTTCAGCTGCAGATATTAAAATCAGTCTTCACAAATACAGAATACAACAAGGCTTTAATTAGAAATGAGTGACATCAGCCTGCTGCACATTTTCACAGTTTTTAAAGACCAGGCTGGAAACAATGGTCCCTTCTGACACTGAACTCAGAGTATTTGCTCAACTACTCTACCACTATTTTGACTAAACCCTATCTAGAAAAACAAACAAACAAAAAATAATCCTGTCTTGACGCACACACACCAGGAAATGAAAAACT